GTCGCCTTCAGCAGCAACAGGTAAGCGCCTGGCTTTGCTTCCGGCGCCGCGGCTCCTCGCACCCAACCGGCCCCCGAGCTGGGGTGCCCGGGACGTCCAGTTTGCGGCGGCCCGACGGATGCTGGGCTACCCCGCGCGGGGACCCGCGGGGAGGCCCCTTCTTGCTTTTCCTAGGGATACTCTCGCCCTCGCGTTTTCCCTCGCACTTTTTCTCGTGCGTTCTTTCTTCCCCTCTCAATTCTCTGGTTGTTTTCTCTGTCCTTCCTTTCTCTCTCTCTCTCTCTCTCTCTCTCTCTCATTCTTTCTCTCTTTCTTCTCTATCTCTCTCTCTGTGTCTCTCTGTCTCTCTGTTTCTCTCTCTCTCTCTCTCTCTCTCTCTCTCTCTCTCTCTCTCTCTCCTTGTTTCTTATTCTCTCTTTTTTGCTTTTTCTGTCTCCATCTCTCCCTGTCTCTCAGTCTCTGGCACTCATTCTCTCTTACTCTCACTCTCATTTGTTCTTTCTTGTTTCTATCTCTCTCCGTCTGTCACTCGTTTTCTCTCTGTCGCTCATTCTCTGCCTCTCTCGGCCTCTCAGTCTCTCTCGCTCTCTCTCTCAGGCTCTCGCTGACCACCCAGGCACCCCTGCCTCCTTTCCGGTTCTCCCTGAAGTTCTCCCCCATTCCCCGGGCTACCACGGACACTGGAGAATGCAGGGAGGATGCTGAAATGGGGATGGGGGATGGAGGAGCGCAATAAGCATCCTCCCTGCAATCTCCAGTCACTGCTGTGCTTCTGAGGAACTAAGTGTTTTATCCGCCAAAGTCCGCGGTGGCCAAGATGGCATCTGGTTTCCATAGCAAATAAAGTAGACAGAGAGACAGAGATCCAAAGAGACAGGGAATCAGCCAGAGAAAAACTGAGGGTCACTGGAGAAAGATGTAGAGACAGAGATGCACATACTCAAAGATACAGAGAAAGTCCCTAGCAAGTCCCAGGGTAACAGGAGAGTGGAGACTTAGAAACCAACTAGAGAGTACACACACTATAGATACAGCTTGAGAGACAGTCAGGTCAGATAAGCAGTAAAATGTTAGAGACCAAGGAGAGAGACAGTCAGGCAGAGTGATACAGAGAAAACTCATGCACAAGAGGCAACAACCACAGGCAGAGATAGAGAGAGACACAGAGGTGAGAGGATCCGAGAAAGACAGAGTAAGTGTACACGTGTCAGTGAGAGACAGAAGAATATAGCTAGAGAACCCGAGGGAGACATGGGAAAAGAGTTAGAGAGACACGGAGACTGACAGAAACACATGCAGCCAGCCATGCAGAACAGGTGTGCTAGGGACTGTCAGGGAAATTGAATGAGAGAGACATGGAGACACAAGACAGCATTAGGTAAAGACAGAAAAGCATATGCACTAGTGAGTGACCCGACAGTGACAGACAGAGACACAGAGACAGAGCGGATCAGAAAGAGACAGAGAGAGCCACAAGGGGAGAGATGAGAGAGAGCATGTCCGCACTACAGTGAAAGTGTGCTAGTGAAAGAGACACAAACAGAGAGACAAGAAACTGACTGAGAGTGGGAGGGAGAGATGGGGGCAACAGAGACAGGAATAGAGTAACAGAGATGGACAAACTGCATGCCCGCGCTGAGGAGAGACTGAGAAACAGAGAAACGACGGAGTGAGAGACAAGGGTGAGAAGCAGAGGAAACAGTGAAACACATACATACACACAGCCCTAGAGAGACAGAAAAAGTGCACTAGCAGGAGACACTGGAGAGAGACAGAAATTGACGATTGTAAACAGGCAGAGACAGAGAGCGCACGCGCATGCGCTAGCCCGAGTGCTAGCTAGAGAGACCAAAACTCTCAGACCCAGAGATAGTGTGGGAGACACGCAGAGAAAACGCGCACACCTGCCCCAAGAGAGACAGACAAGAGGAAATCAGAGACCAAGGAGAGAGACAGGCAGAGAGATCCAGAGAGCCAGAGAAGGAGCCATAGCAACTGCCCGGACCCTGGCTGAGACCGCGGCTGCGCGGGGGTCCAGGGGAGAGGGTCCTGCAGCGCGACTGCTGCTGGGCGCAGAGGCTTCTCTGCTTAGCAGGGGACTAACCCTGTCCGTGTGTTTCTTTTGTCCCTGGTGTAGGTACTGAGTGCGGTCCGTGCACCCCTCTGCTTCCCCGCGGTGCCGGCGCTGAGCCTGCACCCTGTCTCACGCCCTCTGACTGTCGCCATGACGTCCACCTGTACCAACAGCACGCGCGAGAGCAACGGCAACCACACGTGTTTGCCCCTCTCCAAAATGCCCATCAGCCTGGCTCACGGCATCATCCGCTCGATCGTGCTGCTCATCTTCCTCACCGTCTCGTTCGTCGGCAACATAGTGCTGGCACTTGTATTGCAGCGCAAGCCACAGCTGCTGCAGGTGACCAACCGCTTTATCTTTAACCTCCTCGTCACCGACCTGCTGCAGATTTCACTTGTAGCCCCCTGGGTGGTGGCCACTTCTGTGCCTCTCTTCTGGCCCCTCAACAGCCACTTCTGCACAGCCCTGGTCAGCCTCACCCACTTATTCGCCTTTGCCAGCGTCAACACAATCGTTGTTGTGTCCGTGGATCGCTACCTGTCCATCATCCACCCTCTTTCTTACTCGTCCAAGATGACCCAGCGCCGTGGTTACATGCTTCTCTACGGCACCTGGATTGTGGCCATCCTGCAGAGCACACCCCCACTCTATGGCTGGGGCCAGGCTGCCTTTGACGAGCGCAATGCCCTCTGCTCCATGATCTGGGGGTCCAGCCCCAGCTACACCATTTTCAGTGTGGTGTCCTTCATCGTCATTCCACTGGTTGTCATGATTGCCTGCTACTCGGTGGTGTTTGGTGCAGCCCGGCGGCAGCACGCTCTGCTGTACCATGTCAAGAGCCACAGCTTGGAGGTGCGGGTCAAAGACTGTGTGAAGAATGTGAATGAAGAGAGAGCAGAGAAGGATGAGGTCCAGTGTGAGAGTGAGCTCCACAACCATGGTGAAGGTGAAGTCAAGACCAGTGTCATGGATGGCAGCACAAAGGCCAGGGAAAGAAGCTTGGAGATCAGTGAGGGTCACAAGGAGGTCCGAGGGAGCGGCGTGGTCATCAGTGAAGGCAGCATGGAGGCTCAGGAAAGTGGCATCCAAGTTGAAGAGAGCAGCATGAAGGCAGACAAGGGCCGCATGGAGGTCAACCAGTGCAACATCGACTTGGGGGAAGATGACATGGAGTTTGGTGAGGATGGCATCAATTTCCATGAGGATGATGTCGAGGCAGTGCGCATCCCAGAGAGCCTCCCACCCAGTCGTCGTAACAGCAACAGCGACCCTCCTCTGCCGAGGTGCTATGAGTGCAAAGCGGCTAAAGTGATCTTTCTCATCATTTTCTCCTACGTGCTGTCTCTGGGGCCCTACTGCTTTCTAGCTGTCCTGGCCGTGTGGGTGGATGTCGAAACCAAGGTACCCCAGTGGGTAATCACCATAATAATCTGGCTTTTCTTCCTGCAGTGCTGCATCCACCCCTACATCTATGGCTACATGCACAAGACCATCAAGAAGGAAATCCAGGATATGCTGAAGAAGTTCTTCTGCAAGGAAAAGCCCCCAAAAGAAGACAGCCACCCCTACGTGCCTGGAACCGAAGCTGGCACAGAGGGTGGAACTGAAGGCAAGATCGTCCCTTCCCACGATTCTGCTACTTCACCTTGAACTGAGTTCTAAAGCAAACCTTGAACTGCCCATGACACACAAAAGAAGACCAGCTTTCTTTTCAGTGGACTAACTGCAATCCCATTAATGCCAACCCATACCATTTAAGGCTAAGGTGTTGCATATACATTCTTTTCACCACAAGGTAGATAACTTTATGGAAGAAGTGGAAACTGGGGTCTTCTCTTAGAGGCCACCCCTCAAAGCACAGACTTGAGGATTCTAACTGAAATTGTTCCCTCAAAGATTATTAGGCTCTAAATTTCTTAAAGCAACGAGGGCTATCTTGGACCTGTAGTTGGTATTCTGCCTGTCTCCCCAGAGCTGCAACATGCCAGCTTTAGCTCTGAGGGAAAAGGAAGATGATGCCTGTGAACTTATGGACTTTCTGGTCCTGAGGTCAGAAAGCTCATGGGCCAGGGCTACAGTTTATGTTCATCTGAAAGAAAAGCAATGGACCAAATCATTATTGGAGCCCAAGAAGCAGAACCTAATGGACTGATCAATGGATGAGCTAAATTCTGAAGAGCCCCACGATCTGGTGCAAAGACTATTATGCAAACTAAAACAAAGGGATTATGCAGTTAGAATACAAGAAGGTTTCTAGATCCCCTAAAGGGATCCAGAAAAGTGGAAGGTCATATATGAAATAGAAAACTAGTTCAAGGGGAAAGATAGAGAAATAGCACATATCCATGGGGCTAACCAGTTGACTTTTTTTTTCTTTAAAATCCAGGTTTATACATGGGCTTGGACTGAGGTAATTTCATGCAAATGAAAAGTTATCAACTGACACTAACATATTTCCTGTCTCCTATCTAAATAATAGTGGGACAGAAATCATGCCACTATTTTGCAACTCCTTTGGACTGAATTGAGAAGCTCATAAGAATTCTCCAGATCTCTGCCAATCACTTGTGTTTGTTTTGGTTTGTTTTTGTCAAATAGGCCTTTTTTGATCAAACAGTATTTCCAGAGGGGAAAAAAATTCAGCTAGGAGTGGCCAAAGTCCTACAAAATTCACACTACCAATCAAGAGCATTGTGCCCATCAGAAATATATTTTGGGTCTGTGAGATCATAGAAAACAAATATGATCACATAGGGAGCAAGGAAGGCAGGATGAACATTTCTTTTCCACCTGTGGCTCTCTATAAGGCTTTTAAGCTCTCTGCAGATGTGGAAGAGAAATATAAGAGAGACAGAAATGATAAATAGGATAATTTCACAATACCTGGCAAACATCTGACCTATTCCAAACAATCCTAAAATCAAAGCATTCGGGTCAGACCTATCCTAATTATTGTTGTTGAAAAATCTTGTTGGGAAAATCTTTACAATATCTAATTGATCCCTAGAGTTAATACACAGGAAAAATTTTCAAATCCTGAAATCACTTTGAGTAAGGATACGCTTGTGTATTTCTGAGGGCATGAGGCATATCTACATGACCAAAAAAACATGGAACCAAAAAACGGTCAAGCCAATGTTTCTGATCCTCCTGAAGTGCAGAGATCCACTGTTAATATGGGTGGAGGGAGAGGAGGGAGTACTTGGTTGATAAATGGTTAATCAGGTGGTTGTGTATATAGTCATCTTCAGAGTTTAGCCTCATTCTTGTGTGATTACCTTGTCTTTATTAGAAATCAAATTTCATTTATAATAAATGCCCAGCTCATGTATATTTTCTTTTATCTCTTCCTCCTCACAGATTCCAACATGAACTTCTCAAGGGGGAGAGGTAAACAGCAATGTATTTGGGCTGGGAATAAGTCTGCATGGGAATTTAGGATTGCCATGTTCAGAATTTGGGAGAAGGGATAGAACCAGACAATACCAAGCTGATCTGTCAAATCAGTATGCCAGTGAAAACCTTACTGATTGCAGTTCCATTAATTTGGAACTTATGGTAATTCAGACAAGACATGGAGGCTGAAGTTTACCTTTGCACTTTTATTTTCTACCAAAATGTATAAAATGAATTAATCATAAATTTGTTATACCAGTATACTGCCAAACTCTTGTTCTAACCTGTCCTTAAAGGATATCTGGGTGAAGAAACGGCCTATGTGATCAATTCTCCTATGTGGGGAAGGGAAGTGCCTTGCAGGTCTGTCATGGTCAAAGGAGTTCAAGGTAGTTATAGCCTAATCATTGAGTAGAAATTATTCCCAGGTAGGAAACAGATTTTCAAACATAAGTGTCTCCAAACATTTTGTTGAAACTGAACTTCTTGTTTTATTTTTAAAGCTCACCCCCTTCAAAGTGTATCAGAGAAAATTGTTTGCCAAAATCTCAAATCAAAACGGAACCAGAACCTGTACGAGTATGGTAAGTCCATTTAACGGCACACACAGCATTCTCCAGGGCACAAAGACTCACTGCTTTCCTTTTGAAAGTTCCTCTTTTCCCTATTTTAGTCATTGTTCATTCTTTTGGTAAATTGGATTCTTCAAAGGTGAAGACCTTTCAAAAATAAAAGTCTAGAAAAGAGGACCTTTGAATTAAGAGCATTCTGCTTTGATGACATTTTCTTCTTAATGAACAATAGAGTCTCTGGTATGCATGGAGATAGCAAATGCTTGAAATTTTGTGCTATTTTGAATAAGGCACTATCAACTTAATGAGGTTTTATTGCACATACTGTTTTGTCATTTAAAAATCTGAAAGCACACACAAAAAAGTCATCAATAGCCTCACAGAACCTCGTGTGGAATAGCTTTCCCTAAATGTTTTTAAAGGATGTATTCTTTTGCCAAGGCCACTTCATATGTGCAGTAAAAAAATCCCATTAAAGTATGGGGACCAGACAAACCAGACTTTGAAATGATGTGATTTGAAATTTAATGATTTCCTTATTTAAGAATAATAGAACATCTAGTTTGCGAAGGAGTCGCAGGTGCTTTGACTAACACACCAATTTCAACAAGCTTGGGAAGGCAGTAATAAGGAGCGAGCCCTGGCCTTCTGTGACTCCTATGATGCGTGAGTCCATCTTCTCTAAGATGCCACAAATACCAGCTGCTGAGTACTTCCACCTCCCTGCCTCCCTCTTGCCATTATGCCCACTGCCTTGTTCCCTCTCTCTCCCCACC